CACAGTGAATAATTGTTTAGGTGCATAAATGCCATGCACTCTAAAATACTGTACTTACAACTATTACTGCGGCAAATGTGCTACAGTAACATTCTTATTATTCGGCCCAGTTGTATGGGCTTCGGGAAACGACATGTTCTTAACTCAGTCTTTTACACTGACGAACAGTACAGTTCCATGTATATAATTGCTAAATCAAGTCACCAGCGTAAAAAGCATTCAAACCCTGGCCGGGTAGCTCGCCTGGTTGGAGCATCAACCCAATACACCAAGGTTGCAGAGGTTTGATCCCCTGCTAGGGCACATATAAGAAGCAACCCACGAGTGCACGAGTGGGTGGAACAACAAATTGATTATTTCTTCATTTTCACTACTAGATTCTCCAAGTATCAGAACAGCACATGGATGTCTGGAGACAAAAGAGAGCCACTGCCCAGCCTCCCATGCTACAAGGTGTGACCATACAGGTCCATTCAGGCCAGTGGTATGTACTCAAGAGCAGCATGTGCAACTTCTACAAGGCGCTCCTACAACAAAAGACAGCGCTGTGTGACAAAGTGGGCCCAGCGTGACTAGGAAAGCAAACCGTGCACTCAAAGGAGCAGGGACCCCCCCACCAGAGAGCACGGGAGCAGCCCTTGCCTGACCACCCCAGGCTTCCTGATCGAGAGACAACATAAATGTTTACCCTGCTTAAGCCATCATCTTACTTGGAGGCTTTGTTACATGCAACCAAATCTGACCTGAATTCATGCGACAGTGAAATGAAAGCTCTACATTTACACCCACAGATCAAAGGCAAGCCCGGGCTCCATGTTGCAGGTTATGAAGTATCACCCATTATCACAATGTCACCTGACCTCTTCTCCAACACAAGGAACACACAGCAGCACACATCAATACCAGGAGGAAAGGTACAATGTATTTAGAGTAAACATCATGCAATGAACTGTGAAACTGCTATATGAAGGTGCCCAGTAAGACTCCTGTACCAGCGCCATCGGAACCCCATTTACAATGCCCACACGCTCCAAAACGGATTAAGTTTATTTCCTTTAAGCAGAACGGAAACACTGGAGTTCACAGCGCTGCGCCACAGTGCAGAAGAAAAGGAAGCTTGACTGGCAGTCGCCTGATTGAATCTAACCCCACTTCTGTCACTCCTGAGCAACAATTCAATTTCATTTCATCCAAGACAAATGTGGTGAATGCCCACCACACATAAGGCACTGCACTGGTTGTACAGTACCAAGTAACACTTAGACGAGGCCCTACCCTCATGGAATTCAGAATGTAACAGACAAAGAACAAATTACCCATAATGCCCGGTAGTCAACCGGCCAGGAATCAGGGAAGCAGACAAGGAATGAGCCTACCTGAGGGAAACTTACGATGAAATATGCAGTCAAAGCCTCAGAATTAGGGCAGAGACTCAAAGCACCCTCACCGCCCTCCTCCAGGTTTCACTCCAAAAACGAGAGACCGGCACCAACACACAGTGGGAGGCAGTTGGGACCCAAGGGCCCCACAAACGTTATTCGCTGGTAACATCCAACCTGAAGAGATGTTTCCCTGCTCAGAAACGAGGAAATACACCCAAGACAACAGGAGTCTGTAATTCAACTGAAAAGCAGGATCGTCCTAGAGATGCAAGGACACACAGGCAGGAAGAAAGAGTTTCCAAGTTAACCACAGAGCTTTAGGGAAAGATTTACAATTAGCATGTGCTGCTTTTGAAAAAAATTATGTATTAGTATTTGTGTGATCAGATTGAATATACCTACATAAAATGCTGGATCCCATCGAGAGAATATACCCTTTCACTTTCCCAAGAATTCTTGGAAAAGTGACAGAAAACAGTATGTCCCACCCCTGCTTTGTTCAGAACGTCTGTGAGACACCCCAGAGGCAATACTGAGCACACAGCTGGCTATGAGGACCTGGGGTCCAAGGAGGAGACCCAGGCAGAATCACCAACGTGACACTTAAAAGTTATGAGGCTGAATGAGATCGTAAGGGTCAGGGTTGGAGAGATCTGAGAACTGAGCCCCAGAGAAGCTCCACATCAAAGGCCTGGGAAATCAGAAACCGGTGAGAGGATCTAAAAAACACAAAGGCAGTGGGTGCAAGAACAAAGAGGCAGGGGTGAGTAACCTGGGGGAAGAGGGGAGGGGAGGGGACATGAAATCAACCAGAGATCCGAGAAATTTGGGGAGACCCAGCACGGCTCACTGTCATGAAGTCACAGGACAGGAGCATTCCAGGAGGCTGAGGTTAGACCAAGCAAGTCCACTGCTGCTGAGGCTGCTGAGTGCTACACCAGCACCTACAGGGTTTCTGACCGAGCGAGCCTGGGCCGTCGTCTAACACGACAGGACCAGAACTGAAGGCATCATCATCTTCCTCTGTCCTTATTCCTCCCTGGTCCTCCCTCTCAGGAAACGGCACCATCTAGTTACCGAGGACAGAAAGAAACCTTCCTGTCCTTCACCCTACACTACAACACCAAATTTGTCTCCCAAAATCTCCCTCAGACCAACCTGCTCGCTCCATCCCCACTGCCACCACACCAACACGGCCCTGTCATCCACTCCTGCCATCTCCAAATCTTGCTCTGCCAGAGTAAGTTTTGAAACATAGAATTATGTCACTCACTGACCTGCTTAAAACCATATAATGCATTAAGCTCGAAAACCTCCAGGTGAGGCCCGTGCCCCCAACCTGCAGCCTCTCCCACCCTCCCAGGCTCTCTGAACCGGTGAGGCTGGGTGACCCCCGGAACCTCGCATGCATCACACCCTCTCGTCCCCAGACCTTCCCGTGCACTGTTCACTCCGCCTGAAGTATGGGTCCCAGCCCCAGCTGACTCCTTGCACGCCTTTGATATGGACGCCCTGCCCTTGGCAGGCCTTTCTTTGACCCGCAGGACTAGAGCACTGGTCCTCCTGCCACAGCTGGACTTGGAAAGCAGCTCTGGAAGTCAACAGAAAGACATGGGGGATTTCTGCAAAAACGAGAAAACTGAGAAAGGAGAGGGTACAGGCCCCACACCCCACTTAATAAGGAAACTCTTTTCCCTCTTTTATAAATGCACGAAATTTTATTTGAACAGAGGGCTCCCTAGTGGTGCCAGCCGGAACCACTAGAATACATCCACTGTGAGGTCTCCCAAGGTATTATCTTTTGTAGATAAAAATAACCGCATAATTATCCCCTGTCAATCTTTGTGAGGGGTGGAAAGAGGTTACCTCATCCCAAGGTGCCCGATAAAGAGCATGTGGCATGATCAAGCCTTAGAGAATATACAGGATTAAGCAAAAATAATGTAAATTATGTTAAGACGATATGTGAAGACCAGAAGTAGCCTGCTTTTGAAACAAGTCGGATTAACCTCCTTTACCACATTTTCCAGCAGACATCACTGCTGACTCACACTCCTTAATTACACGGGAACCATCGCACTTACAAGGTAATGCTCAGGCCTGCAGCACAGTGGTCCAGAGCTTGGGCCCTGGAGGCAGAATGCAGGAGTTCGAGTCTCCACTCTTCCATTTCCTGGCCGCATGACCTTGGGAGACCACGTACCTTCTCCACGTCCCAGCTCCCCAGCACAAAATGGGAAGGGTCGTATCTACCTGTCAGAGCTGCGGTGAAGACCCAAGGAGAGCGAGCACAGAGGAGTTCAGAACACTGTCTGGACCTCAGAAAGGACTCAGTGTGTGTCCCCGGGGGTATTCGCACACACACGCATGCTCGAGTCGTAGAGACTGGGTTGAAATTTAACCTCTTTTGCACAGACATTCTTCTTTGCTTTTTAACCAATCTTGGCAAAATGCTTATTAAACTACCTGTCCTTTTCATGGTCATGTCACGTGCATCGCCGTGCTTAAAAGGCACGTCTTTTTACATGTCGCCTGGCCTTCGGTTCATTTACTGGGAAGTAAAGCACAGATTTTCTCTCCCTGCACCAGCCTCAGGAATTCAGTTCTATCACCGAAGGGAAGAGGAAGCACTACTGTTTTTGTATTCTTAGGTCCTGACCTGAAATGAACTTTTGCTTTTAAAAAATCTATTTAACCCTTATTATACAAGTAATATTAAACAGTCTTATCTAAAGAGCATTGTTTCACCCTGGCTGGGGTGGCTCAGTGGATTGAGCACCAGCCTGCAAAACAAAGGGTCTCTGGTTCGATTCCCAGTTGGGGCACATGCCTGGGTTGTGGGCCAGTTCCTAGCAGGGGACACATGAGAGGCAACTGCACACTGATGTTCCTCTCCCTCTCTTTCTCCTTCCCTTCCCCTCTGTCTGAAAAACAAAACACAAAACTTTATTTCTAAACCCAGGCCTTGCAGAAAAGCACCACACTGTCAGCCATGAAAAACCAAAGAAACCTGAGCACCACAATTTTCCTTGGTGGCACGGAAAGACATACACACAAATGCCAGACACGAGGTCACTTTAACAGGGGAACTTTTCTCCTTTTCCTTACTTCCTTCTCCCTGGCAAAGATTCTTTAATCACTAAATAACTGCAAGTCATAAGAAAAAAATCAAGTTTTTAATAAACAGACTATGCCGAAGACCCTCCCTCACAGACAGAGGATACACTCTGAAAAGTCCCGCACAGACAGACAGCACTGATTTGTAAGTATAGTCACCAGCGCCTCTCCTTAGCTTTGTCACCCGCTGCCTCACTTTCACCCACTACTCCTTTTAGTGCCACATGTTCGGATCCGGTCAACGATGAAATGCTCCCAAGTTACAAAGGGACCACACTCCTGAGAAGGACCCCAAATGCCAGCCAAGATGGAGCCTCTGCGGCTCGAGCCAAACACAGCGGCCCAGACTGAACAGGTGGAAGTGAGTCGCACACAGTCTGGAAGGATAACCAGGTAACATTCGTTCAGGTTCTGCAAATCTCGGTTGTCTTTTGCCACTATTTTTCTAAATCGGCCTTTCAAATGCCTCTCTCGGGAAGTCTAATAATCCCTATCACTTACCGGTCAGCAGCTTCCACGTCAAAACAGAACCTTCTGTCGATGGAGTCGGTGTGCCTTTTGGTACAGTCTTTCAAAAAGAACGCCTCTCCATCCCCCTGCAAAAAGTCATAGGAAACAAGCTAAAAAACTATGGTATAAACATGTACACAGTATAAACATATACAGTTAACACTAAGGTACCCTATGTTTGGGGTGAGGGGGTACCAAGGTTTGACGTCTTTTTATCCTATGTATTATCTTCCAAACTAGCTTATTTAAACAGTGTTTAAAAGCTTAACCATTTTTGTCATTCTGCTTTTCTTGTGTTTTCCAGAGCCTGCTTTGGCGATAGTCACATGAAACAAGACCTCATGGGCACCGATTTTAAAAGCTATGGTAACAAAACATTTGCTACCTGCTAAAATATTTGTTACCCTTATTGTACTGTTTTAAAGGATAATCATTTGTTTTTATCTATTATATTATACCATATGAAATAGATGATATGTGACCATTTTAACCTATAAAATGTTTGATTCTGTATAAATCTAAGGGCCCAGGGTCAGCTGCCCTGATTGTCTAAAACAAGAAACACTCGATGTATATGGTTTTTCTCTCCTAAATGAATATCCTCAGTTTATCTTAATTTTTGTATGGTACCTTTCACCTCGCTAAACTATCCTCTCAAAACGTGCAACAACAACAACAAAAAAAAGAGCAGTGGGAGGGTTGGGGGTGGAGAGGTCAAGTAAAAACGAGAGAGAAGTAAAAGAACTTGTGGACACGGCCAACAGGTGGGGACTGCTGGGGACAGGGGAGTAAATGCTAAAGGAAAAAAGTAAAATGGTTTTGAAGAAGAGGCCGAAGGCAGGAGTCAGAAGAGCGTGCAAACACAGGTCCTCGTTCGGGAACTGTGTGAAGTCTGGATGCAGACGCCCAGAACACTTTAACACTTTCTAGAATCTGAGGGTCTCCAGATAATATTAAGCGAGCACTGAAATACACAAATATTCAAAATACCACCGTCATTGTATTATAAAAGGTATGTTTGATTATTTGGTGGCTGAAACAGTCACCACTGAGCGGTCACATGGTAGGACTCAACTCCGAAGGAACGCAGGCTCCCGCCCCGTGCTCCTTCCTCACCCCACGGGCCTTCAGGAGCAGCCCACTCACTTCGCCTGCTCTCCGCACACCTGATTTCCCACGTCTACTTTATTACCACAAAAATGTATTTTGTGTGATAAGCCATGGTAAATAGTTTCTTTAGGAAGACATGAAATAGATGTAACAGATGGGAACTTGGGTTAATTGTATATTCCCATAAGCAAAATGCTGCCTTTCTACCAGCAAGCCCTAGAGTTAACCTTCCTGAAAATACGTGAGCAGTGATGTCCAGAACTGGCCGGAAGACCTCTGTCTCCCGACCACTGACCACTGCGACGAGCTGCAGCTTCGACCCGAAGCGCGGCCGGTGCCCATGGGCTCCTCGCCCTGCCCCTGCTCTCACGGACTGTTTGGCTGTTCTTTGCTATGGAAGGAGTGAACACAGTGGGGGACACCTATGTGAGAACTTGGAGAATCTAAGCAAAAAACCATAAAATGCATTCCAGATCATTACTCTGTAACGTTTTCAGGTGTGAATACACCTGCACACGTTCGATCTTCTGCGGAAACGCTGACCTGACAAACCTCCAAATCATCTTCCGGTAACAGAGACACAATCTACTCTACTCTTAAAAAAAAAAAGATCTGACTATAGAAACCCATGCAGTCAAGTCGAAAAACATGAATGCTTGTTTTCTGCCTGACTTAGAAATGAACAGACAAAAATGAATCCTAAAATATAAGCTGTATTCATCACCAGTGCATCATTAAAGCGACACGCTCGTAGAACACAAGGGTCAAGTACTCACGAGCTTCCCTCCAGACCTGTGCTCGAACGGGATCATGTTGAACTTCTTGGCCGCCTTGCGGTACATGCAGTAGTGCTTGACCCAGCTGGACCCGAAGGGGGCAGGCCCTGCAACGGCAAACACAACTTCCCTCATCTCCTCCAAACGAGCAAATGCGCAGAGCTGCCCCTGACGAAGGAGGACAAACCCAGGGGGCAGGACGCAAGACGGCTCACAGACATGAACCAGCAAAACTGCTCACTGGACTAAAAGGGCAAGTCTAGGGGGAATAAGGCTCAGAGAGCGCAGGTGAGAAAAGGTCCTACTTGTGCAGTGATGCAGGAGTCAAAGACACACCCTTCAAACAGCCTGCTGGACCGTCATCTCGCAGCGGAACATCTCTCTCCTCCTTGTGAGCTGTGTTTGTTTCAGGGCATTGAGAGTTGGGGAGGGTTTCAACACCTCTACCTAATCTATGTCCTCGTTTGGATTCAATTCTGACCTTTCAAAACGACAGGACTATGGAACCGCAGTGCTCAGAGGAGGCACCTAGTGCAGAAATGCATCCAGTTGTTTTAGGGCGTAGCTCCTCCTGCACAAGCCGCTGCCCTCACTGAGGACGGTGACGTCAACGAGGTGTGAAGAATACAGGGGGGAGCGGTGAATGCGGAACATGCACAGAGCCAAAGCTGAACCCTTGAGAAGTTGGCACCGCAACCAGCAGCGCTCTGAACAGAGAAGGGTCTTCGTTGGGGGCAGGGAGGAAGGTGGGGGGTAGAATTTCAAGCACCAGTAACAGTCCAATCATAACATTACAAAAGTTCAGCCCGACACAGGCTGCCATTATTTTTTCTTTCATCAACTAAAGACACTTTTAATGGGTTTTTCTTTCTTTATATTTTCTGGGGAGAGAAACATCCGTGTGTTGTTCCACTTACTTATGTACGCCTTGGTTGCTTCTTGTATGTGCCCTGACCAGGGATCAAACCCACAACCGTGATGTACAGGATGATGCTGTAACCAACTGAACTACCAGGCCAGAGCCAAGACAGCTACATATGAATGCATGTGTTCTGTGTGTATGCGTGTACGCGGCAAGGATGAGGTTAGGAGGAAGGAGGAAGGAGGAAAAGAGAACACCACACCTCACTTTTGGCCATAAGCCAAGTTCTGGCTCCCTTATGAGCAAGTTTTAGAGACAGGGGTACAGAATTAGGGGGGCTTCACCATCGCCTCCCTAGAGCACCTTCTAGGATGGGGGAGGCCAAAGAAAGTGACAGGAATTATGTCAAAAATAACAGCGCAATTACGAGAAATTTTAAAGCAATGAATGGGAAATGAGCCCTCCATCGCCGGAGGTGGCCCTTACTTTTCTCCTGGACGTACAGGTAGCCCTCCGCCGTGAACTGACTGGCCCGCGTGTGGTCTTTGGGGTGCTGCCTGGTTTTGTTCATCAGCTCTTCCACTTCCGACCTCGTGCCTTCAAAACGGTTCCGCGTCTGCAACGGAGGAAAACCACGTGTGGGTTTTAAATTCTCACGTGAGTTTTTCACGGATATTTTAAAGTCTCTGGATAAGTGTACTTAAATGTGCAGCATTTTCCTGTATGTTTCTCAAAACAGACCGAGCCTTTCCCGTTGCCTCTTTGTTGAGAAATGGGCAAAAAGTGGTAAAACAGCTAACAGAAGAGTCCGCGTAACTGGGTATTAATTCCTTTAGAAGCCTGCTAACTCCAAGAATAATTCTATTCTTCAACATAAGACTCCCTGCATTCACTTCCCACAACAGTACTAAATCACAGAATTTTTTTTTAAAGGCAGGTCATAAAATCTCCATCATCGGGGAAGTCTTTCCTTTGCAACAATCTGACTCATTATTACTATTATACTAGTAATATATGTAAGTGCTCAGAATCTAAAAAGTTAATTCTTCAATTAAACTTAAACATAAGTATCATTTTTTTCCAGGTCAAGGCAATTGGTTGCACTAGAAAATGACATTTCTTCTAAGAAGAAATCGGGGGGAGCAGGGAACATCACCCACAAGCAACGTAATGTCTCTGACACCTGAGGAGGCAAATCCCATTTCTGGACCCCAGGGGCAGGGTGGGCTGCCATCTCTGTCCCACAGCTGCACTGCCAGCGTCCACAGGGGAAGGGACAGAACGGCGGAGGCGAACGTGACACGTCAGCACCTGCGAATTCCTGGACCTGCCGTCCGCCCACTCTCAGAAATAACTACGTTAACCCCGAGAAACTGCTGATGCGAAACCGGAGGAGCTGCAAAAAAAAAAAAAAAAACCTACCACTTCTCCTCTCCCCTCCGTATAATGCGAGGGGTCCCACCAGCCGAACCCTGGAAGACTGGTACGTGGTTTTCAGTGGGGGGGAGTCCGACCCATGCAGACTGTAAGGGGGAAAACTTACCTGCAGAGACTTACACACGAGCTGAGAGGTTTTTTTAAACATGTTTTTGTATTGTAGGCGTTCACCAGGCCGCACAGAGGGCAGAGCTCACAGGCTGACCGCCAGGCCCTCTCGCCTTCCCTACGCTCTGGTCTCCGGGGTCTCTGGTCCCCTCCTTAATCCTGACCGTGTCCTGATTTTACTCGCCCTCCTTGCTGCGATTCCTCCCAGCCCTCACTTCCTTCCCTGTGTGTGTGTGTGTGTGCACTATACGTGTATAGACAGTGTGCACACGCAATTACACACACATTCCTGTCTCCCCAATGCTCATTATTATGTTAATGTTCAAACGGTGGTGGATGAGCAGTGGGGCCCTTTTTCTGGCCTCCGGGTCATGTGACAGGCCCCCCTCCTTCTCTGAGTCATACCTTAGGCCCCCATCCAAAAAGGAGTCCCAGGTTCGCCCCCCACGGTATTTCTGGCCCTGTCCCCAAACCAGCCATTTCCCCGAAGCGGCCCTTCTTCCCTTCAGTGCAGGGCAGCACTGAGAAACCAAGTACTGGGCACAATCCCACAAGACGATGAAACACAGACAGGAAAGTGCACCGACAGTCGTGGGGGGGTGGGGACGGAAACGTACGAGGTACAAAGGGACCACAAGGCGCCCCTCAGGGACAGCCACGTCCGCAGTCCACGCGGTCCCGTCCGATCTCTTTTTTAAAAGCCTTGTTTGTGCTTTGGGGCCCTACTATTCTCACAGCACTGAAACAGAAACATCCCAGCACCTTCTGAAATTCTTTTTAACTGTTCTGCATGTCTTCTAGGGATTCTCTGTGAGTCCGAAAACTTCTCAAGTTACATTTTCTCCCCAACATTCTATTCCAGTCTCCTCTCCCTCATTCTTCTGGGGATGGGGGATCACAGAAGCATAAAGTTAATTTTTGTAACTATACTTTAATTTTGAGGCAATTTACAATCTCCTACATAATCTATGTTCTAAAAGCCACCTTGCTTTTTTCTGCTTTCTGTTTATTATTCTAGACTGTGGAAAATAGATAAAGATCAATCTGTCACAAAAAAAAATCCAACCATTTTTACACTCAAAAAGGTGAAACAAGATTGGAGGGGGAGGTTGTTTTACCTTTTAAATAACTTTCACCTTTTTCTGATTATAAAATAGGTTTTCTATATTTTAGTATTTGTTCCGATTATCTATAATGTTCTATCACATTGTTACCAAACTCCAACATTTGGTTCTAACATGTGCATATATTGCCTTAAATACATAAATATATGTAGCATAAATAACACACAACTGGGATTTTTTTTTCCAGCAACAGGTAGTTTCCCTCTAATGCGCCAAAAGCTGTCGTCATCGGGGACTGGGATGAAGGGCAGCGTGGGCCAGAGCCACACCGAGGTGGAGCCCGCGAGACACAGCAGCCTGTTCCAAAGGAGCTGGTGTTCCTGAAGGGGAAAGACTTCGCTAAAAGCAAAGACGAAGGGCCAAGAAGACCCCAGATCAGGGTCCTGGAAGCTGAAGGCAAGGTGAACGGAAGAGCTTCTGCCAGGAGAGGCTGCAGGAGCTGCTGCAGAAACACCAGGACACAGTGGGAATGGGGGGGGCGGGCGCGAGGCAGAGAGGGAAGGAGGGGGATTCAGGCAACTGGCCCACGACAATCCTCAAGTTCCAAATGGTACCAAAAAAGTGGGCTTTTTTCCCCCAGTAAATTGTTCTTTGGCCATTTCTCCACAGGAAATGGACGTTGTTACCAAATGTATGTGCTAAGTTTTCAATACATTAAAGATGTTTACCAGGGCACTTTGTGAACCCTTAGAAAGGATCGCTGGTCTCTGATATTTCACGACTGAGACTGCAGGTTCACGCTGAAATCCTGACTCTCTGAGACATGGTGCTGGTGTCCGCCCAGGTGTGTTAACGACGGATCCAGGCGTAAGCAGGCGTTGTAGGGAGACTCTCGCTGGAGCCCTCAGCAGACACTGATTTGCCCCACACCTCCCCCAGCCCTTGGGGCAAAGCCGGCTTCACGGCCTGGAGCCTGAGCACCACTCGGGGCCCTGTGCGCGTGAAAGGCCCTGCTGGCTGGGTGACGCTCTGCCTGAAAAGCTTCCTTTGGGAACAAGGGGCCCAGCCTCCCCCATTTTACACGGGCCCTAAAATCCAGAATCAGTTCTGCCCGTGGGGCCTCATCCAGGCCAGCCCTGCACTTCACAGATGAGGTCCAGATGGAAACAGCCGATCACCCCAAGTTACACAGCCAGTTAGTACTGGGACGGCAGGTGGCGGGGGCCTGGTGAGGATCAGGATTAAAACCCAGTTTTATAAGCTAATCAGCGTCTCCAGCCTTCTGGGCACCAGGGACGGGTTTCACAGAAGACAATTTTTTCCTCCACAGACAGGGGCAGCACAGGGTGGGGCAGCGGGGGGCTGGTTTCGGGATGATTCAAGCACATTACATTCAAGCCGGCCTCCTCCTGGGCGGCCCAGTTCCTGACTGTCGCGGACCAGCACTGGTCTGTGGCCTGGAGGCTGGGGATCCCTGAAATGTATCATGTTCTCTTCGCAACCCTGCGTGCGGCTGCCTGCAGAAGTGTCCTGACAAACTACAGTACCGTGAGACCAAATGTTGTACTGCCCACAGAGGCAGTTTTGTGAGTTGGGGCTGATGGATGTTTTTTAAAATCCTTTTACATGAAAGAATGATGGGAAAAGGAGATGTCCTCTTTTAGTCATTCAATCCAGCTGAATGTTTAAACAATGTACGAACACAAATGAACTCGTAAATTATAAGAGAAAAGATTCAATTACTTATATTCCCAAGTGTAGGGAACTGTCCAAAACAAAAGTAGAAACAACATCTACACACCCTCAATTTCTAAGATGTTAAGGAATTGAACATCGAGTGGCACACAGCCCGAGACTCCCGCCCTTCGGCTTGTGTGTCTCAGATGACACACCAGGAGTGTGTCCCAAACTCACTCACTGCGCTGCTACCGAGGCCACGAGGACACTTCCAAAATCAACTACTGTGTCGAGAGGACATCTACCCACCTCCTGATCTAAACGTACGCCATCCTGGTTAACGGAGCACCTGTAAATCTCCTTACAAAGACCTACCAAAAGCATGCATTTTCCCAGGAAAATAATAAAGCAGACGGCAACTGTGAGCCCAAATATATGAGTAAATAGGCTTAAAATGTGGGAAAGGAATCCCCCCTCCTACCATAAATCTGCCTGGGAATGAAAATCAAGTGAGATGTACAGGTAAGAGACACTCAGATTGATGTGACTACCCGCTTCGCCTCCAAGGTGAAGTGCTCCTGCCTGCCTCCCACACAGAGGCCCCGGGGTGGACCAGCAGCGCTGATCCTTAGACCCGCCCCACAGCCTGCAGGACAACCGGCGTGGACACTGCCCTGGGACACACCTGAAGGTTGAAAGAGGAGCAGAGCCTAGAAGTTCTCATCAGGAGGTGACAGATATTAACTGACTTAGTGTGGTGACCATGGGGCCGCACATGTAAGTCATTACAACGATACATGGTGTTGTCTGTCAACTATATCTCAGTAAAAATGGAAAAGTAAAAATAAAGCATGTGACTCTTGACTATGAAAGCACAATGACTGACTTTTCTGAAATGAAACAGAAATCACGTGAAATTTTAAAAAGAGCCACGAGGTGGCAGAATTCCCTGAGCTTCACCCAGTTGGAAAAGTTTGTTACGCTAATGGACCAGAAGGTGGCGATGTAGCCTCAGTTTCCAGTACCTGATCTTATTAAAACTTTTCATACAATAGATCAAAAATACACATCTCCAACATCTTTGAATACCAGAAAGCTTTCATTTTCCTTACGTTCTGAATGTTGATCTGTAGTTCCATTTTGTAGTGATTGAAGTCTTTGGCAAGTTCATGGCCCTGATGGTAGAAAGTAAACATTCCCTGAAAAAATGACAGCATCTAAGACAAGAAGAAAGAATGACGTTAGCACCAAAAAACCAGGGGGGGAAACAGAATAAAAACAGCCACGTACTTCCCCTTATCTCACTGTGATGCTACTGAAGTACAATAATTAAAAGATCACTAGATTTGATTACATCTAATTGCATCTTATTTATTAATGTCTTTTTTTTTTTAAGGAAGGGTTTGTGATTTTTCCTTAAATGTCAGAGCCATTAGACAGTTTTCATGGTGTAATGGGCAGAAAAAATAAAATGCCACATCATCCATTTGTCATTTCTAGTCAAGAGAATCACCACAGACATTTATAATTGAAACTTGATCACTCTAGGTCGACAGAATCCATGATGTCCTGGCTGGTGTGGCTCAGTGGATTGAGCGCAGGCCTGCGAACCAAATGACCGAGGTTCAATTCCCAGTCAGGGCACATGCCTGGGTTGCAGGCCAGTTCCCAGCAGCGGACACATGAGAGGCAACCACACATTGATGTTTCTCTCCCTCGCTCCTCCCCTTCCCCTCTAAAGATAAAGAAATTTAAAATCTTTATAAAAATTTTTTAAATAATTTTAAAAATTTAAAAAAAGAAAAAAAAGAAAGTGAAATCACAGAATCCAAGAGCTGAGTGGCAACCAGCATCATGCAGCCTGTTCTGTCACAAGGACTTTCCGGCCCCGGGGCAGAGGGGCAGTAGCCGGGCAGAAACTAAGCCCCGAGTGCCCTGCCGACTGTCCACCTGCCCCCTGCGAGTGATTAGAAAGTGAGAGGCGGGTCCTGCCCCCCACGAGTGAGTACAAGTGATTTGGGGTGAGAGTTAAGAAAATTGTGCCATTCATATTCTTCAGAATGTCACGGAGTGACCAGGCAGGAGTTGGGGCTCTTGACATCAAGAGGTCAGCCATGAGGGTTCAATTCCCGCTTCGGCACTGTCACGAGCCCTTGGGCAAGCACTGAAACTTTCCCTACTTCAGTTTGCTTGTTTGCTAAGTGAGGTAATAAAAGTATCTCCTTACTGAGTTATTCTGTAGAAGAAATGCATGAACACAGTGTTAGAACCACGACTTAAACAATGAGTGAGCATTGTAAATGCTCAGTAACTGTCCCTTGCTGCTCCGCATAAAGAAGAAAGCTTTAAAAAATACAAATTTTCCTCTAATTCAGGTTAATTCTTATTACTCCGACTAGACTACAGCTTCCGGGAATGCCGATTTTTAATTAATCATTACTTGATTTTTTTTTTGTTTCTCAAAATTATATATATAATGGGTAGCCCGAAAGACATGTCAATTTTATACCAATACACGTTTTTTTAAAAAATCAGACACAAAAGCATTTATATTGAAATTAAGATTAGTATTAAAAATCAAACTCCAGTGTTTCTTGCCTTTTTTTGGCTAAAACCCACAGTATGAAACACCCTTTACATTTTGATTCAGGAGCTAGATATATGCATGTACATGCTTAAAACATTAATAAAGAACTGAAACCATTACAATACATCTATATAAGCACAAACAAAAATCGCATGTTGCTGAAATAAGTATCAAGCAATGTCAGAGTAACTCAAAATAGTTTCGAATGTTCCACACACTGGTCCCTGACTTAGGCGGCCATTAGCATGGTGACTCGTATTAGAAGTAACTTGTTGCCAAATTGGTTGAAACTGCCCAAGTGTGGACTGGTGTGCTTGCTTCAGAAACGAACTTGGGTAAAGACCACCCCAGCCACAGCAGCCCTCTGCCCACACTCCAGTAGCCTCTCCTTCACAGGGATTTTCGCTCCAGGTGAAGCTGCTCCTGGCTGCAGGGGCCCTGAGACCATGCAGCCAGAGCCGTGACATCCATCACCTGTTGCACAGCCAGCAGGGCTGAGGGCCACAGGTGTACGGTGATTCCTCAGCTTCAGGGCCCCAGGGTCCACCCTTTCCGGGTACAATAGGGCGTCTTGTGTGTGTGCCCTGCAGTCTCTAGACACCGCACATCAAACCCGGAGTGAAAAGCATCTGGATCCTAACACAAAGCTCTAGTAGCAGAGCCACCTGCTGCAATACTCACAGGCTCCACGAATTCAAACTTCTTTCTCTCCTGGATTTCCTGCAGCTTACACACATACTCAAGAGACAGTTCATAGAAGTGCTGCCGTGTCTGCTCCACTTGCGTGTCTGCCTACGTTGGGGAAAAAGGAGGCTGGTCAAACGAGAGGCAGCGAGGAGTGACACCCAGGCCAGAGGCCAAGCGTGGCCCGCCACCTGCTGCGTCTGAACGAAGCTGGAACGGGATGCAGTCGGGACTGTTCGGTGAGGCCCCTCCCGTGGCTCTGGCTGCTCTGCTGCTGCAACAGCCGAACTGAGCGAGTTGCCACGGGGACCTCGGCTCTGAAACACACTGACCCTCGATGACACAGGGTGCTGCCCCTCCAGGAAGGGTCTTTACGAAAAACTCACCCAAACAACTGACACCCAAGGGCAAAGCACCTACGCGGAATCAGTCTCTCCTAAATGCTCTTCCCATGAACAAATCCTCTAAGTCCGAAGTCAGCGAGGGAGAGAGGTTAGGGACACACCCGAGGCCCCGGCACAGGTGAGGGAAGGCAGCAGGTGAGGCGGGCATGGCCCCATCCCAAGGGCCCAGCTCTCAAAGGCAGGTCAGGGCTTGAAGCCCGCGGGCAGAAGTCACACTCCTGGACCCTCACCGTGGCTCACCGCCCCGGAGGTCACGGGCAGTGGATCCTCAGGACACTGAGAAAAGGTTTTGGCTCATCTTGTCTAACTGGAAATAAACAGGGACAGGAGCACAGCTTGACAGAGAAAGAACTCCGGTCGATCATGTGACATGTTTCCCAATTTGGCTGATTTTACTTTAAAAGTTACTTATGGGGACATCTCTCCAAATAAGAGACACGTATGGCGATAGGAACGTGAAAAGATGCTCAACATACAGTCATCACTAGGGAAACACAAATCAAAGCCACCTGACACCACCTCGCCCCCGGGGAGGGGGGCTGCTGTTGAAATCCCAGGAAGCGAGCGTGGGGGAGGGTGCAGAGAAACTGGAACCCTGCCCCCTGTCGGTGGGAATGCGAAAGGACACCACCGCTACGAAAACAGTACGGCAGGTCTCCAAACGTAAACCAGAACTACCCCACGACGCAGCAATCCCGCCAGCAGGGATGCGACCCGGAAAACCGGAAAGAACCGCAGCCGAGTCTCGGCGGAAGCTTGTTCATCCACGTTCACTGCAGCACCACGCGCAGCAGCTCGGGTGCGAGAGCAGACCAGGCATCCACCCCAAGGGGGACGGATCAGCGAAATGTGGGATTTACATACAACAGCTACAAACAGCCTTAGGAAGAGAATTCTGACACCTGCCACATGCCACCTGGATGGGCCTTGAGGACATTATAAGAAGTGACACAAGCAAGTTACAAAAGGACAAATACCATGTAAAATCCACGTATATGAATACTTAAAAGTCACATTAGGAGAGACAGAAAATAGAATGGTGCTTGCCAGGGGCTTGGGTGGGGGGTAGAGAGAATGGGAGTTATTACTGGGTGAGCACCAAATGTCAGTTTGGGAAGCTCAACCAAGTTCTGAATGGTGGATGGTGGTGGATAAACTTAGTTGTACCCTTGGAAATAGTTAAAATCGTAAATTTTAGGCTTTGCATATTTTACCACATTTTTTTTATTTGGGGGAGGAAAAAGTATTTAACATATAATAAAAAATTTTGCATGTATCTAATTTTTTTAAGCAAAATGTTTGGATTTAAAAATAAGAGTGTTACTAAGCCAAAAGGAGAATTTCTACCCAATACTCAGTCACATTTTTATGCCTCTAATAAGCAAAGTTTGACAGTTCAGCCACCAGCAGTTAAAAGGCATGACTCCCAGCAAAAACATTGTAATTTTGTTGAGTATTTAATAAAGATACCAGGAGCAATGAGTAGATTCACGCTACTGTTATTGCAAAATGTCCTTCGGAAAAAAATTACACCAGGCTCAGATTTACCGATTCATTTTTCCTTTAATTTTAGCAGATTCCCTGCTTGCTCACGATACTGCAATACCCTCCCCGGGAAATGACTTCCCACACCCCTCTAACACTCTCCTAGTTCAGAACTTCAGGCCCTGTGCCACGTGATCAAACCACCAGGACACCTCACATGGTCAGTGGCCCACAATTCACGCCAATGCCATGGGCATCCACAGCACACCTCATCACACCCTTGGTCGCCTGACTCAAGTCTGACAGGCAATGGTCGTATCCTGTGGAAGAATGAATACATTGGTCTGTGTCCCGGGTTCCTGGCACACAGCTCCTAAAACCCAGGAAATCTTCCTAGTGACGGGAGTGTCTTTGACCTTATATAGCAGCCCCTTTGGAGCACCCCTGAGATGATGTGCATGAGAAGAGGTGAGGCCCCCAGACGGCACCAGAAAGACCCAGTGATCGAGGCTTGAAACTTGCCAGCCCCAACCCCCACTTCTGGGAAAGGGATGGGGCGGTGGAGGGGGACATTACAGATTAAGCTCCATAAAACTCTTCAACAAGAGTTGGTGAATTGTCCACAGGCCTGCGGGCGGCAGACCCCGCTTTAGTGGGCACAGAAGCTTCTGCACTTGGGACCCTTTCAGGCCTCACTCTGTACTTCTTGACCTGGCTGTTCATCTGTGTCCTTTATGTGACCTTTACCATAAACTGGTCAACCTGAGCAAAGGATTCTCTGAGGTCTGTGAGCTGCTCCAGCAAATTAACTGTAGGAAGAATGGTCAGGGAAAATTCTTCATTTGGTAGCCTCTGAGTGGAGAGTATTTGAGCCAGTATTTGAAGGAGTGAGGAATGTGGATCTGGGTTGGAAACATACCAGGCAGTAAGACAAACGGATGCAAGGGCCCAGAGCACGACATCCACATGCCCTGGTCCAGCCAGAGTAAGGCAGGCCATGTGGGTGGGAGGATAGACGGGTTGGGCCCTGGGCCACCGGAGGGAGCAAGGAGAAGGATCTGTGAAAAGGAACAATATGAAGGCTTGCTCTGCTTGTTGTATAGAAAATAAACTGTAGGATGAGACCAGTGGAAGCAGGGAGACTAGCTAAGAGGCTTTTGCAGTAATCTGCTGAGAGATGCCTGCAGCTGAGCCAGGGGCTGGTGGTTGGGAGAAGTGGCCACATTCTGATTATAATCTGAAACCAAAGAAGGCCTGTGCAGACAGGCTGGGGGGGGGGACATGAGGGAAAGGGCCGAGGACAGCTCTGAAGGTTGTGCCTACGCAGAGTGCAGGCAGAGACCCCTAATTCGATAGTGGAGGGTATGGAAACCCCTCAGGACACCTGACAACAAAGACAAGCAGAGCAGGGAGGGGACAGACAGAGGACCTCTAAAAACAACAGCTGTCATTTCATAACCAACACAGGGGTGGGGAGGAGGGAGCAGATGTCAGCATTTCATGTTCTTCTACAGGACCTGCAACCAGGAGACAATGGAGGCCCTACCGACCCACCCACCCGCCTGCAGCACTGTACTAAGGATTGAGTGATACAAAAGCCTTTCTCTTCTACAAACTGTCAAACGCCACCCAAGTGTCAGTCAAAGGTATTAAAGAAAATATGACCTGCAGGCAACGTCAAGATGACCACACACAATTTGCGACTACCCATGTGACACTCAAAAATAACCCAGGCTTGTACTTCGATATTTTGCGGTGGTGAATTACATCCCGATTCCTTATATGTTTAAAGATCAGCAAATGAGGGGGGAAACCAACACTTCTGCGGGAGGAGTCAGGAGCCTAACAGTTTGCAAACAGCATTATTTTTAACAAAAGCATATGTTCCAAACGGTGAACCTGTGAGTTCCTGTTCAAGTGTGTGAGGGGCAGGATATTCAGAAAAGAAAAAGAGAATCAGAGATAAGAACAAATTCCTTTCCCCTTACATACAGCTCCCTGCTTTAAAAAAAAAAAATTAGTCTACTAACAAAAGCAGAACAGATGTTCTCCATCGAAGGAAGCAGGACCTCCTGAATCTTCAGGGTTAAATAAGGTGAGTGCTGCCTTCACGGAAAAGCTCACTGGTATAGGGACTTAACTACATTCAACTCCTTTCTTCAAGAAATCTTGAAAGCCAATTAATGAATCTAGACCTGAAAATAATGTGTCTGTTCTGCAGTAATGCTGGTTAAAACCGTTCCTGAGAACATACGCAGACAACCAAAGATTGTGATACTGTGAATCCATACTCAAGTAATCACTGTAGGATGTATTCATCATCTTATGTCTTGTTCCAGAAGAATTCTTTCCTTCATTTGGGGGAATACATATTCATTTTTTCCATCTTTAATAACCCTATATAAAAAGTTTTCGAAGGAAAGGCGCCTTTAAAAAAAAAGGCAAATAACATATAGTGATGGAAGGAGACTTGACTATATATTATAGTCAAGTGGTGTGGTGAACACAATTCAATATATAGGTGGTGTGTTACAGAATTGTGCACTCGAAACATAGAATCTTATTAACCAATGTCATCCCCCCAATTAATTTTTTAAAACACATGCACTGCTTATTCAATTTTAGAAACAAATGAACCAGAAAAATAAAATCAATACCTCTTGTAAATGTGAGTCTTTCTTTTTTGCTGATAAATTCAAATGTTTATCAATCAGGCTATAGTTCTTCTCTGTCTCTTTGTCGAACTTCTTCTTTTCTTCCTAAAATCAGAAAAACACAGGCAACTGTGATTAAACAGGAAAAAATGCATACACACAGTAAATCCACTAGGAAGCTTAAAATACAAAAACTATCTGCCAATAAAAGAACCACCAAATGTGAAGTTATCTGGCCACTGCCTCTTAATCAGCAAGTCAGCATCAGAATTCAAGAGACATTTATCTTTTCTCCCCCCACCCATGGGCTTTTTCTCAAGCCTGTTATTTTTCAACTCTGCACACTTATCAGTGTTTAGAATTCACGCTACATCATTCGTCCCACATTGTTAAAAAAAATTTAAAGAGGAATACATAACATAACAAGAACATAAAGCCTGAAAAAGCAAACTTGCTATATAGACATTGTGGCATAGAGATGGGATGCATTTAAAACTGAGTTTTTTCTCTACATAAAAAAGAATCCTAATAATCACACTGGGGAAAAAAAATCTTGGGACAGGATCTCCCTCACTGTCTCCAGTATGAATACAACAAAACCCTGTGCCCAGAAATGCCATCCACCTCCCCAGGCTTCGCAGGGATTTCTAGAACACTGTCTACAACACTGACTTTCTCATACAGACCCCGTGGGTAACGTAACCAGCATCGCTCAGGTCCTGCCTGGAACAAGCGTGTGCTTTCTTCTGCTATAGCAGCTTTTTGAGAAAACCAGTAACCAACATTTTCAGTGCAGAAAAGACAGACTACCTCCCCCAACAGCACCTGCCAACTTCAGCAGATTTTTCATAAACATTTCTGAGCCCCAACGAGTGCACACTGTGTCCTCAGACTGTCCAAATGTTTCCATGAACTTGAAGCGCTCCCTCGCTCTCCAAGGCCTCCCAGAAAGGAACATTCTCTTCCCAACTTTCCAACTTCCACTTTCTAAAGCAGAAGTAATGAACCAGCCTGGCCCTCTCTGGTATGTTCTTTTCCCTATTGGGCAAAGAGATCGAATTAAAGCACATGAATTTTATTCCTTCACATTCATCAATTCTTTTTGTCACGATGCAGGACTCCAAGCTGCTGCTGTGGGGACCCAGGACAGAAACTCTGCCAGTTCACCCGAAGACCCTACACTGAGACCCTACACTGATGGAGAAGAGCAAGAGTCGCGAACTGCAGTTTCTTCCCATTTCTACTCCAAGTTGAAGTACAAAGTAGCTGCACAACTTTAAAAAAAGTAACAACACAGAACCTTCATTTCTTATTGAGAAAATCGGAAATTTTTTGGTACTCACTCACTCATAGATCTAATCCTAAAGTTCTGTATCCTGTGGTTCACTCACATGTAAGAATCAACATGGGTTGAAACAGAAGCACTTTTCCTTTATTCCCTAAGTTTCATTTACAACCTTTTTTTAAGTTTAAGATGAATATGTGGTTACTGTTTGCTACTTTTCATGATCATACTCATCAACTATTTTAATACAAAAAAAAGGTAAAGCAAACACATGGCCATTACTTCAAAATCTTCACTATGTAACGAAGTGGATATTGTGGTGGGCACACAAGGTCAGGTGTCAGGAGAATCCCAGTCCTGGTGGGGGCAGCCGGGGCTCTACCCAGCCTCCCCCAGCACCAGCTTCCCGGGCTCACGGAGAACAGGAATTGCCTTTATCATGTCGTTGCATTGACAAGATTATTGCAACACAAGAGCACAGAGTAAAAACTGTTCACTATCTTTGCAGATTAACTTCCTACCAGGACTCCTGAACACACGTTTACTCGCGTGATTTCATCAGCATCACAACATGGAACAAAAAAGGAGCTGAAATCACCATCAACACCCCCAGCACACTCAGCAGCAGTGGGGTATGGAAATGAGCCTGTGGGTAAAGTTTGGAATGAAAGAAATGGTGACATCAAGGCTTTGTCAAGAAAGAATTTAGCCAAGAAACATTACACCCACCAAGAAAAATGGAAATACTTCTATTTATACAGGGTATGGCATTATACAAACGTCACTGTGATTTGTTTTCAAGTCGTAAGCCTCAGATAATGATTTCTTCCTGCATTTGTTCTCAATGTTCTTATAGGATATTAGTGTTTCTGTGTGCTCATACAACTTTCTGTGCTGAAGCAGTGCAGACCTATCTCTAATGCTGCGATACAGGATATACATATACATGGACGGATGGATAATGTATATTATATGTAAAATAAATTGAGCTGCTTAAGACAAAAGGCTCTTCCAACAATCAAGTTAAACACAATGGAAAACTTCTTTGTAAAACTGCATTACAAACTCAAGTACAATTCAGGTAGTAATAAAATGAATACAGCAAGCTGGAAGTAGAACTCCTTGAGGTGGGTGGGGCCACAGCAAACCAGAAAGCCCCCCTGGACCCAGACAGGCACCTACAGCAGGGCCCGCTAGTTCCTGTCATGTGGGGACCCAGCCTGCAGCCCGTGTCCCCGGATTCTTCTGCAACGGCTAAAAACCCCTGTGATTTTTAAATAGTGGCAACAAGCTCCTCTTTTAATTTTGGACATGAGTAAGCCAAACAAAACTACGTTTATAGGTTAAATGCCACTGATGGGAAGTCAGCCTGTGATCATTTATGAAATCTCACATGCATAAAGGATAAGAAGAGTATTACTTGAAACAACATAATCAAATACGATGTACACTATAAATGGTAGAGGGAATTCATAAATCTAAGAACCAAACTTTAAATACTCAGGTCTTGTGAGTACACTGGAAATTATACAGAGAGGTGTCATTACAAATCACTGCACAAAGAAACATTTCACTAGACCAGTGGAGGGGGAGTGACTGGTTAAACTGTATGGAAACAGAATGAGTATCGCATCTCGTACCAAAATTAATTCCAGATGGACTGAAAAAGTCCTAAGTCAAAAATGACATCATGAATATGTATGTTCACAGACATTAGATGAGAACGGAGCCTTTCAAGCAAAAAATGCAACAGAAGAAGCCATAAGAACGTCTAGATGTCAAAAAATACACAATCAGCAAACTGAAAGGCAAGCAAAGCGGGAAGACAATGTGATTAATATGTAAGAAAAGTAAGTATTCGTAACATACAAAACATTATTAAGCAATTTTTACTAAAATCTCACATGAATAATTCCATGTAAAATAAAAAATGGATAAAGAACAAAGAATTCACAAAAGTCTGAACAGAGCTGTGAATTGTCTGCATTTCTAGAGAGTACTAGAATTTTTCGGTTTTGTTTTAAAAGGGGAGAATTTTTTTAGTTACCAGATGACTTCTTAAAATATTTTGGTATTTTCTGTATTTTCTAGGAGGAGGAAATGAAAAAGCTCATTTTCAAACTATAAATATAAAATAATAAGGCATGAGTAGCCTAGAGGAGAGCTTCGATACCTTCTTAGAGATCCCAATTCTTTCTCCCTTTTTATTTAGGTAAAAAGGTGGGATAATATCACATGTACTACACCAGCAGGAGCATTTTTAAAACAAAATCCTATACACCCAAGCCAGCAAAGTAGTACAGCCCAGGTGAAACGCCCTCTCCTCTGGGAAGCACCCCTCCCCACTCCGGGGAGGAAACCACACGCTCCCTTTACTCCTGCACCAAAGGTCACCTTCCCCACTTGACAGTGCATTTGCTGTATTGACCCCCACAGTTCCCCTTTCCTTGAAGCTCCTTCAGCCTTTCTCCAAAGAGATGAGAGCTCTGCGTTCATCCCCACAGAATGGAGCAAGGCACTTAGCACCCGCAGGGGGGTCAGGGGCTTCGGTCAGAGGAGGAGTGGAGGATGGAGCCTAGGCTGCAGCATCCACGCGGTGCCTCAAGTCACCCACCCGTCACCCTGGCACTAGCATCTGCCAGGGGGGGTAATTAGCCTACGCGGAAGTGCTCTGTCACATGGCCCCTGAACCCAGCCTGCGGGGAGTGGACTTGAGCAGCTCGGCAAGATGATGTGGAGCAAACCATAGATGGGATAATAAAATAATTACAAGTATGTGCGCCAGCCCTGCATTAGACACAGGAAAGGCATAACCAAATGCATTTAGTCTTCACAATGACCTTCTGAGACGGGTCCCTGGTCGCATTCTAAAGATCAGGAAGCCAAGGCTTATCAGTGGCCTTGAGCAACCTGCCCCAAATCACACAGCTGGTTAAGGGGCAGAAACGGGATTCAAACAAGGAAGAATCGGGTCTCCCTGGCAAATCTTCCCCGCACTCCAGGCCGAAACAGCAGGTACATGCCAGAGCACCTGTGCCCGTTATAGCCCGGTGCACGGTGCCCCTTTCGCTTTGACATTTGAGTCGCCCCACAGAGGTGTCAATGTCTTAAAGGGCAGGACAGTTTTAATTCATAATTTTATCTCAGGACCTCTTACGCTACGCTGTGTGATAAGCACTGTCAAGTTTTGTTGCTAAAATTTTCAAGAAAAATTAAATCAATATTCTTTTCTGCTTTACCACCTTAATTTACCGCTTTAATTTAAGAAATTATTCAACAATACTGAAATAACTACATATGGTACCAAGTGGGTACTGGAAACCTCGGGGGGACACTTTGTAAAGTGTGTGACCATCAGACTGCTGTGCGCACACCTGACACTAAGCAGAACAACACTGAGTGTCAACTGCAGGGGGAAAAACTGAAAATAAATTTTGTGGACAGATTTACTTTTTACCCATATTTTGCCATCACAGAATCTCAAAACATCAATTTTTATCAAACATTTAGTTATTGGTTTTGGAAAGAAATTTGGCATGAGCGGTAAGCAATCACTGAGGCAGTTAAGAGATTAACTTTTTTTTTAACCCTTCTGGTTAAGTGTTTTATTCTAATGAATTAAAATGGTAACTGGTGCTTTGCAAAACAGCATTTGAATAGGCCCTACTATCAACACAATGTTAGCAGCACCCAGGCGATCTCTGCAAGCTAGAAGCCACAGTGTCAGTACCTGACTGTCTGAATACCTGAGGGAGCAACTCTAAATTCCCCCGCCATAACTCTTATCACACTCTGTTACTTCTCAGAGTTTCTACACAAACTACACCGCTCCCTATGTGGTCGGGTGTCTGCATCCATCGAGGTTTCCTGAGGCTACCTCGACTATCGACAGTGCAGGCAGACACTTAGGAGTGACAAACTCTTAGGGGAGGTGACACCTTCAGAGGAGGCAGGAGCTGAGCTGGCAACCTGGTGGGACACAGCACAGACCCACCGGGGTGCCGCGAAGGAAAAGGGGGCTTTTCAAACACAGGTGAGAAGCTGGCAAGCGCATAAGAAAATGCAGCGGAACCTCCAGAACGGAGGGACGAGCCCAAACCAGAGAGGTGACTGACTGAAGGAGGACTCGTCCGTCTGGGAGGGAGCACACAGTAGGGGAAAAACAGGCTGGGACTTTTTAAAAATCCAACTTACAAAACCACCTATCTGTTGAGATGATGGTAAAGCCACAAGTTAAACATGTCATTGGGATTCTGGAACCTGGAGGAAAGAGTAAGCAGAACTGAAACAGCTTCAACATGAAGGCAAAAGGTAGGACAGTGTCAAATGGGGAAGAAAAGAAAAGAGAAGATAAACTTACGATGCTTATGCCCAAAAAAGTTCTCCTGTGCTCAACTTTTCAAAACTTTTTTAAAAAAAATCCCCACATGAAAAATGCTTTCCTGTTTCAAAGATGTTTAACATGAGAAAGTCAGATTTTAAAAAATACCCCAGGTAGTAGATAAACCAATAGAACAAGACCATGTGCTTGTCAAAATATGAGTGACAGTTCAGAAATCACAGATGTAGAAAATAATCAAACGTCCAGATTACAGACCCTTCCTTGGCTCTTCCAGAATTATCAGCAGAATTGGTTACTTATTTGGTACCTTAAACAGTAAGGCAGAGTTGAAACTAGCAGAAAGTAAAGAAATTAAGCCTAGTCTTGTCTCATAAAGATTTAAGGATCTAATAAAAGAGACAGATGTTTATATATTCTGAGAAAAATCACCTTTCTCTACTGTTTCTGATAACATAGAAAACTGCAAGTAAAAACAAAGGGCTTCTTCCTGTGACCCACAACCAGTCACCCTCCTCGAAGGTGACATCAACAGGCATTGACAGCCAACACGGGGGTTCAGAGCAGGAAGGGACATGTCAAAACCTGAAGCTGGGAGAACAACACAGAGATAGAAAGGGGGACTTCGGGACATGTGGCTGATAACCAGCTCCAGGTATAACCTAAAATTATTAAAATAACTTCTCCTTTTCTCAGGGCCCTGTATGTTGCCTGTTGCTGTATCCGATACCCTCTGAACAATATCAGAAGCCGGGAACATTTAGCAGAAAGGAGTCAAGAGAAAATCCAAGGTCAGCAATGTAGAAAAAAACAGTAAGGTGGGTAGCAAATAAAAAAGAAAATGTATTCATTCATTAAATCACATTCGTTTTTCATTTCCAGAACACAATCCTCGTCCACCACCACCATCGTCCCATGACAAGAAGATAAATTTAAAGTGGTTATCATCACACTTTCAACACCTATTTCAATGAAATGTTAAAAAAGAACCAAGATGTTCAAGTTTTAAAACAGCCTAAGAAGATAAAACAGATCCTAAAACTATAAAATAAAGCAGTCAGAGCCCAAAGACCGTCATTTTACAGGTAGGAAACTGAAGCCCATTATTGTCCAGGTCACAGGTGCGAATCCAGACCCCCAGTGACCCGCTGCAAAGCCAGAGGACACACCGTGCAGCCTCATGACGCCCAGCAGACAGCCCCAGGCAGGGAACTCAGACTGGAGGGCACCCCTCCCTCAAAACATGGCCTAAAAGCTGTGAAATACTGCACCCAGAAGAAGAGTCTAACGGGTGAACAAATCACTGAAAATAAAACTGGTTCCATGCACAGCAACTAAAACCGAGGCCCTCACTGGGCCCCGCTGGGCAGCTGCAGCCATCTGAGGCCACCAAGTTAATTCAGACAAAAAGAGTGTGATCGTATTTTTAGGAAGATTAAGAAAAACACCTCACATTTCCAAGGCATATGGGGGCTGGGGGGGGAATAACAAATACAAGAACTCTCTTCCCCACCTAAAATTTATGTTATTCTCTTCTCCTTGGGCCAAGCCAAAAATGGTTAACAAACACAGAGAATGATCCTTTTCCCCCTTGAGTACATGCACAAAATCCAGCAACGGTTGATGGAATATATTTCTCTGGGATCATTTCAAAGCCCGATTCTAAAGAAAACTTTAGTGGCTGCTAAATATACCGCAGGCCCCCGGGGGCAGCATCCCTGCATTATTCCCAGAAACCCCGGCTCCCTCCCACAGCCCAGAGAGCAGAGTCCGTGCTTACTTATCTCGGACTCCCCAGAACCTGTAACTACACTGGCACATAACAGAAGCTCAATCAATGTTTGTTAAACTGAAGGAAACTGCATCCCAATAACCTAACAGTGTCTTCCTGTTACTGTAGTCGGCTAGGAGACAGGCACAAAGGGAAGGAGAGGTGGAGATGAATAAACTGGGGAACAGAAGCCCGCCTGCTTCGCCAGGGAGATGCAGCTTCGCCGGCCCCCTCCCAGGGGCAGAAACACTCTCCTTCTGCCCCCCCCTCCTCGCAGCAGGAGTTGCTTCACCAAAGACAGCTGTCAGTCAAACTAAGGGGCTTAAACCTATCAAAAGCCCACGAAAACTTGGTGATTGGTTCTTTTGAAAAAACTTCTGGTCTGTCCCCAACTTAATATAAATCCAAGGGAGCAAAGAAATCTGTGTGTGTCTCTCTCCCTCCCCCAACTCCCGCTAATGGCCCGTCCTCTCCATGGCCATGTGGCCCTGGTAGCCACACGGCTGATGGCGTGCTGTCACCACACGCAGGCTCCAGGAGGGAACCCAAACACCGCGGCACGGCAACGGACCACAGCTGGAAACACCTGCCGAGCTGGCCAAATGACCTGACCCCTGCACTGAACTTCAACCTGGAACAGAAACTCTGGGCACTGGCTTCTGTTTGGGCCTTGCTGAGGACGAGACTGGACCTTTTCGGCCCTGGCTGGCGTAGCTCAGTGGATTGAGTGCGGGCCTATGAACCAAAGGACTTCGGCGCGATTCCCAGTCAGGGCACACGCCTGGGTTGCAGGCCAGTTCCCAGCAGGGGACACATGAGAAGCAACCATACACTGATATGTCTCTCCCTCTCTCCTTCCCTTCCCCTCTAAAGATAAATAAATAAAATCTTAAAAAAAAAAAAGATTGGACCTTTTCCATGGTGAGATGGGACACTGGCAAGTTAGAAGGGGAGCCCCCTTCCTTTTACATCATTAACAAAATTAACCACGGAACCCCATCCTTCCGTGAGGGTCTCAGGAAACTCTTCTCATGGTGCCACAAGAGCCCCACTTCCCCGTAACCTCCCGGTTTCCTCTGCCATTGTGGGGTGGCAGCACTTCTGGTCTCCTGCGATGCTCTCCGGGCCCACAACAACGCTCTGTTCCTCCACGAACCGGAGGTGTATGGAAACGAGTGCATGTCCTACGGAGAAAGATGCTCCCCCCCCACCTCGGGGTAAATGTGTTGTTTCGTTGAAGATATTTTTAAAACTCCACATGGGATAACAGCACAGCCCAAGAAGATTACCAACAAAGTGGTGTTACTGTCCCGCCCAGGTGTTTTTATTCTGTTTTCAATCTCATGTTCCCCCCAAGGGGAAAACACACATTTACAACATAACACAACAGATGGTTTATCCCAACGTCCCCTTCGGGGCTGCCAAATGCCAACAAAGTGCAGGCTGAGGCAGCAGAGACGTGGACGTGTTCTGTTTACGAGGGCGCTCAGATCAGACACAAACCTTCACAGCTCCCAGTTGCTCCTTTCTGAATTTCTCCAATGGCTTAATCAGGGTTTCAGTGACACTTAATGCCTAGAGAACGAGAGTAATGACAAAAGGACATCAGGTTTCCAGAAAGGAAAACATTAGTACTGCGCAGTATCTCACTTCCCTCTCCCACCCCACCCAGAAACAAAATGAACAACAGATTTAACTGCTGCATCTCGCCTTGCCAACGCAGCCATTGGACCGCTCCTAAATTTATGAACACACCAGATCTCCATAAATATTTTCAGGCAAGAGGCGGCGGGGAGACATGCCAGGGAAACGTGCCACGCAGCTCTCTCTTTGGATAGAAAGAGCAAGAGGGCTGCCTTTAAACAACCAAGGGGCCCAGCCTACACACCAACAGAACCCTGCTGAGGCCTCTTTCCCCTTCCTCCTCCTCAGAAAGTTAAAACTCAGTTACATTCCATGATCAGTTATCGGACTACGTCATGCCGAGGGCTAGGGTTGTGACTACAGGTTTAAATGCACCCAGTCCACCCTTCATTGCTGAAAACCCCTCGTGAGGATTTAAGGTACATCAGCGAAGCAGAGTCAGAGTCCAAGTGGGGCCGGTCAGCCAAGAGCAGAGTGGCAGAGACGGACAAGACAGGACTCATCCTCCTTCTGGCTGCTGTGTGGGGCTTTTCAGTTTAAGACAGAATCTACAACAAACACTGCTGAAACGCAAATAAAAAATACTTACTTAAGGAGAATGCATTTAACATCATTATGCTGGTGGGCAGTGCCTTTCTCAGCCTCTCTTTCCAGACCAGAAATATCCAGAATAAAAAAGGAAACCAAAATAATGTTTACATTAATGTAAACAATTACAATTACAACAATGTGACACCACTTTTTAAAAAATGTTTTTTAAAAAGCCCTGGAGTGATTCAGTGGATTGAGCACTGTCAGCCTGAGAACCAAAGGGTCACTGGTTCCATTCCCAGTCAGGGCACATGCCTGGGATGCGGGCCAGGCCCCAGGTAGGAGATGTGTGACAGGCAAGAACACATTGATGTTTCTCTCCCTCTCTTTCTCCCTCCCTTCCCCTCTGTCTAAAAAAATAAATGAATAAATAAAATCAAAAGATAAAAGGCCCCTAGAAAATCAAGCTAAAATTTACAGGAAAAAATGAGTTAGAATAAGAAAAAATTCTTAACTTAACCAAAGACTCATCTGCAGTGTTTCACTGCATAAGGGTTTCTCCCAAAGTGACCATTCACACTGTGTGCTGGGAATCCTCAAAAAAAGTGACAGTGCCCAGAGTAGGAACTGCCTTCCCAAGGCCGGCAGCTGGGGTCACTGCCACCCAGACAATTTGCTACTTAGTTGTCAAAGAGCTGAGGCAACAGAGATCTAAAAGTAAGAATTAAGAGCAATGGCTAGCCAAGGAAATGGGATCACCTTCAAAATACATTAATATTATCCTCTCTACTTGTACAGCATGTGGCTCCCCCAACAATGGCCAACCAGAGTCTTTTATATTTTATACTAAAGCACAAAGCAAGTAAAAGTCAACTACCTAAAACACTACGGAATGCCCCAAGTTCCATCTGGGAAAACAGGTAAGAGAGGCTCTGCCATACATTTCCAAAACTATCCAAGTGACGTACGATGTGTCAAACTGATTTAAGGCACACTTCAGTGAGAACAGTGTCGCGTCCCAGCATCTGGATCACCCTGCCAGTGTTCCTGAATGAGCCTTCACCTCGTACATCTTCCCCGCCCCACTCGAGAAAGAAGTCAGCCCAGCTGTGCGTGCTGCACTAGAGAGAGCTGGCCCAGAGACCTCTGGGGCCCCGTCCACCTCCACAGCGGCAGAACTCCGCATCATTGGGAGAAGGAGAAGCAGAAGCACACACTATTGTACAGTTCACTGTTGCCTTATCATGTGTGGCAGCAAACCACAGACCCCAGCAGGACTTCAAGACCCCAGCAAGTCTTTCATTAGACATTTGGATAGAAGAAATTAGATGTCTCAAAAGGAAAAGACAGGCAAGGTGGTGTCTTTACCTACACACAGGTGGAGCTAGAGCTGAGCAACCTGTGGCCCAAGGAGCAGATCAGCAGAGAATGAGGCCCCACCATGGGCAGGAACAATGCCCACCACTTTAAATGCCCCCCATGTTTGAGATCAAGCTGAGTCCTACATACATTCTAAAGAGAATGGGGCTCCGGGCCAGATGCCCACACTCAGCAAAAAGTCAACAAAGGCAAAACTGTACCCAATGACGTTTTTAGTAACAATATTTTAAAGACTCAGCCTAGATAAAACCATGAATAAATTGGTGTAAGTACTAATCATGCCTTTCTAGTCACTCAGTATGAACAAGAACAGACCGAGTCTAGTAGGACACAAGGCTTTATGCCTGTTTCCCAAGGCTGGAGTATTTTAAGCCTGGATTCCAAGTCATCTTGACCCCTGAGGAATGTATTATCTGAGAGCAAAGGGGAATGTCTGCTATTTTCTCCCATGACCCTCCAGATACTTCCCGCTTCACGAGAGTGAAGAGAAAACTCTGCTTTCCAGTCCCAATGTCCAGAAAAGCTGCAAAGTAACCATTCAGCAGAGACATATTCCTTATTCCCCTTGAAAGAGAACCTGAAAAGGGTGCCAAGGAACTATGATCACAGCCCTTCTCCAAACATAAGAAATGTTTCTCCCCAGCACCGTCCCTCAGAAAAAAGGGACCTGCTCTATATAAGAACTCTTACAGAGTTTCCTTAAGAAGTACACTTTCCATCCTTTTGACCCAAACTGTTTGAGGGACAGTAACCTGCAACGGCCCCGGTCACATCTGGTTTCAAATGCTTGGAGATCACGAACAGTTTTGGGTCAGAAAAACAAGGGAAATGTAAGAAACGCAGGAAGACAAGTGGTCATTCTGGAGGTGACATCAGAATTATTAGTGGTCCGTGTTTTTGTAAAGACCACTTTAAAAGGTAAGTGGTTACCTTAAGAAAATCATGAAAACATGACTCAGGGATAAACTTTTTATAACACTGTCCACGTGTCCTGCGAATCAGTACTTGGGGTGTAAGAGAAAATTTCCAGTGAAAGCATCAGAAAGACGTTTCAAAGGTTGGGCTGGACCACAAAGATCGCAGACCAACACGGCCAGGACATGCTGTGCGGAGCCGTGCTGAGGACATCAGGATGCGTCTGTGATCGGCCTGACGTGCACAGTACCAAGAACTGGAGTGACTTTTTCATGAAGGACGTGGGGAAAATATTCCTAAATTATACGATGATTTAACTTTAAAATGTGGACACATGCGTACTCAACTAAATAAAAAGGAGAAATGTGATTATCTAGCAGACACACACATGCAAACCTAAAAGCATGTTCATTGAAGCTAGACAAATATTTTGTTTCCTCTTACGGTGGGAAGATGGTGCTGCCATGTAACTGAGCCTGGATACGATGCCAGGTGGTGGGTATCTGTCCTTCTGGGCTGCCAGGCACTTGAAGGCCCTTCCTACATTTGAGGAGTTCTGCTCCCTGATGAGGCAGAACCCACCTTCCACTACAAGAGGTGACAGTGACAGACATCTTGTGGTGGGGAACTGGAATCTGGCCAGAGTTCCACCCATCAGATGCTCCCACCCAAGACTCTGACTTGGAAGCTGGTGCTTCAAAGGACCAGTGACCCGAGATTCCAGTGGGGAGCAGCCACTATGCCAGTGTCCAGCGGCAGCAGGTGCACCAGCAGCCACCAGGGACTGTGAGGATGCTGTGCTGTTTGTGCGCACAGGCGAAGTGGTACTGGTCTTCCCCAAGTGCAGCCCTGGGGTGTGATCCAGGGCATCGTTCTTGGTTCCCAAACCTTATAAAGACTTCAGTCTACCTAGTATTCTTTAATAAATTCCCTTTCTGTATAAAACACCTAGAACTGGCAACTGAGAATCCAAACTAATGCAGGATTGATATTTTAACATTTTTCAGAACCTCAATAATCTTATCAAAATGCTTTCGGGACTACCCTTCTTTATACTGCTCAACAAGATTTTCCTCCTGATTAAACCAACTCATTTTTAACTAACTACATTACTCTCCATCCACACTCATCCTTTGCTACCACCTCTTTCTCCACCCAGCCAGTCTCCCTACACTGTGCCTTCTCCTGTCCATCAGGGCTCAAGTTTTAATAGAAAAATTAAAGTAAGTAACAAAGTCCTTCCACCTTTTTTAGTAACTGAAATAAGGAGAGTCAAAGACTGATATTGACAAAAAACAGACAAGTTGTACAACTAGTTTTGATAAAAGCCTTGCCTCAGTGGCCAATCCGACGGCACCTCCATCTCAGTTGGGCTCAGTCCTAAATAGTTTTGTTTTTGAACAACAAAAAATGTTCTCTTGTTACCTTAATAGTCTCAACTTGCTCTCTACCTTTTTAAGGGGATGTCACAGTAGAAGCAATTTTAACTCCTCCCCCCAAAAACCCCTGTGTGTTATTTTCTCTTTAAGCACAGTTCAAGTTAATATAATCCTCCTGGCAGGAAAAAAATAATAATGTAAAAATGAAATTAAATTTTGGATAGTAGCTCACATACACCAGCTAGAAACTAATGAGTATCTTAACGAACCCACACACAAAGCTCTAATTGGAACATGGGTATAGAGGCACTGTAAACTAATTCTACAAAATTTGAACTTGAAAACTAGAAGCCAATTAATATTGTATCTGATTCATTAGTTCAGTAACATACTGCTTTCCATTCAGACAGTCCAAGAATAAAAAGTCTCCAATAGGAGTTTTTACCAACTTTCACCCCTAAACTCTGAACAGCTTAAAACCTAACAAGAGGAGGAGACCTAGAGTTCTGACCACTTCTGCTCTCTGACTTTATTCTCAATACGTGACCATGACCTAGCCCTGAAAAAAAAAGGTCAGGAAAGTGTATCACAGAAGTTTAAATAAGAGTCCCTTACAGTCTACCTATCAAATGTCTTTGGGTTTGTCTGAAGAAAAAAAAACACTTGAATCCATTTTGAAGAACATTAATTAAAAAAAGAAAGTAATTACAATTAAATTATTTACAT